CCATCTTGACCATAAGCCTCTAGTTATTTTTTTAACCCATATGTTTACCAATTTGGCTACTCAAAATTTCTTATTCTCACACATCTTTCTTGAATTATTTTTCTTCTTCATTTGATACATGCATTAGAAGTATGAGCTTAGGTTTGTGGTAGCTCTTTTACTTTTTGTTGGCTTGGAAATTCTTTAGTTGCCTTTCATTCTTGAAAACATATATTTTTCTAGACATAGTGCATATAACTCTAGATTGATATTTTATATTTTATCACTTGAAAATACTTAACTGTTTTCAATTGTTCGTGAGAAGATAGACTCAATCTAATTGTAGTTCCTTATACGTAGTCTGTCTTCTTTCTCTGAGTGTTCTATTTCCTATCATATTGGTGAGTGTAGATTTCCTTTTCTTATTTTAAGTCCTGCTTTGGATTTATCATGCTTCCTGAAAATCTTGACTGATTTATTTTATTAGTGTTGAAAAATTATCACCCATTGTATCTTCAGTGATTGTGTCTCCCTCATTCTTTTTATTATCCACTCTTCTAATTCTGATTAAACAAGTTATATTTATCACTCTAGTCTACATTTTTCTTAACTTCCCTCTCAGAGTTCCATTTCTTTGTCTGTCTCTGTGCTGCATTGTAATTTTTTTTTTTAAAATGTGTCTTCAAATTCACATATTTTCTTTTCCACTTTGTATAGTGATTGATTTAACCTATTCATTAAGTTTTTAAGTCATTATACTTTGCATATATAAAATTTCTATTTGATACCTTTTCATAGTTCCCTGGTCACTTTTCACAGTCTCTTGTTTCTTTTTGTATTTGTTTGTTATTGTTGCCATAACAAATTACCACAAATTTAGTGGCTTAAAACAATACTCATCATTTTAAACTGCTCTAGTCCAAAAAAAGTCTCATAGGACTAAAATCAGGATGTCATTAGGATTGTGTTCCTTATTGAAGGCTCCTAAAAAATATATACTTCTAGGTTTACCATGTTGTAGGCAGATTTCAGTTCCATGCAACTGCACAACTGGCGGTTCTGGGTTTTAGCCAGAGGTCATTCTCCGCTTCTTGAGGCTGCCTGCATTCCCTGGTTTGTAACTACTTTCATCTTCAAAACCAGCAACAATAAATCCAGTGTTTCTCATGCTTCTTCTAATCTCTCGGACGGACTTTTGGTTCTGTCTCATCTCACCCACCTAATTCTTCTGCTTTCCTCGTCTGCTTTTAAAAGCTCACCTAATCACATTTGGCCCACCAGGATAATCTCCCTATTTTAAAGTCAGATGATTGATAACCTTAATTATATCTTCAAAATCCCTTCACAGCAGCACCTAGGTTGGTGTTTTATTAAATAACCAGGAAACAGAAATCTCTGGGGGACATATTTAGAATTTTGCCTACCACACATACTTCCAATTCTCTCTTCTATGTTTTCAAACATTATGCTTCGTCATTTTAGATTCTGTATTTAGAATATCTGCTGTCTTTGTACTTTGGATTGTTTCTTTTGTTTATCTTGGCGTTTGCACAATATGCTTTGTATCTTGGCAGATTTGTGAGTTTTGATTGTAATCTCTGAAGTTCTTTGAGCCCTAGGTCAAAAGACTTTCCTTCTTTTGCAGGTGCTTGGAAATACTACCAACCCAGGATTGTTTTAAAATAAAGTTTCTGATTAAGGTCCTCCCCCCACCCCAACACACACACTTTCAATTTGTTTTTTATTGAAATTTTAGTTCCTAACCTGAGTGGCTATGTATTTTCAAGAGAGATTTTACTCCTCCACCTAGTGCACAGGTCAAAACATTCAAGTTCCTTTGATATTTCAGTCTGTAAGGTGGGTTTCTGTTTGTTTTCCCCTGGCTCAGCCCCCCCCCCCCACACACACACACACACAGAGAATATAGTCCTTTGAGATCCTAACTCTATGTAGTTTTTTATTTAACTACTAACTTGCTTGGGTCTTAGATTTGTCTCCCATGTGTACCCTGTGTACCAATTAAAATAAAATTTCAAAATCTCTTGAGATTAACAGTTGTCACCCTCAGTCCATGCTTAAGTCTCTAGACTCTTGCTGGTGCTTTACTATTTTTCTCTTTAGAGGACATCCATTTCTTTCTTGCTGACACAGTAATGTATATTATACAATATTTTTTATTATTTGGCCTTAAGATCTCCCCCTTCCCATCCTCAGTATCTATACCACTATACTTTCATTAAGAAAAGCCCCTTTATTTATTTTTAAAACATATCTTTTTCTTCCTAGGCAAATGAAGGTCCCCATATTTGAAAAAAACCTTTTAATTTCTACTTTAGTAACATGTTCTTTTTACTGCTTACTCCTGGACTAGTCTGATCTTGCCCTAAATGGGGACCTGTTTTTTATATTTGCATTCCCATAATTTAGTAAATTTTTACTTTGACTAAATCACTTCATTTGGGAGTAACATGGTTAACACTGCCCTGGAATAACAATTTTAACTATTTCCTTTTATATTGTGGTAAAGTAATAAAACCGACACTGTTTGTTTGGGTTTACTCTTTATTGCTAGTACAACCCACCCCTCCTGAAAAAAAAAAAAATTAATTTGGTAAAAAACACAAAGTCAAACAAAGATAATATTCATTCACTAAACCAAAAAAAATTTTGGAACATGTAATCACAAAGATTTTTATCAAATATTTAGCCATGGCAGGCATATAATATATATAACAATAATCTCTAATACTAACAATATGTAGTACACCTGTCAAGACACAATTAATGTGCCATGGTATTATTTTATCAAATTTTGCTAATAGGTTTAACTAGTAATATTGGTTAAAAGCATACCTCCTTACCTTCCAGGCTGCAAAGCAGAGAACAAAGCTTTGGGTACCAAGGAAGGTGAAAACGTGCACACATTTGAAAGGAAGGAAGTCTGAATTCCAGAGATGCTAACATGGACAGAGGCAGCTGGGGTGAGAAAGGGAACATATCTGCCTGTGAAGATCTTGAAGTACGTAGATGAACAGGCAGTAAACAGGCACTTAGTGAAATGCTACTATTATTTAGACAAGTTCTAATCCTAAGTAAAATACTGGGACTTAAATGACAGAAATCTGTAGTTAACCTTAAGTAAGGATCAAGATAATAATAAAAACACTATATACCACCAAGTGAGAGGACAGATATTTGTTTGATAATCCATTAAACTTTCCTTTTAGAAACTTTCAAAGACAGTATGCAACTCTCAATCTAACAGAGTTTGAGAACTTTATGCAAATGGGGAGTGAATTAAGTCGTTTTTGATATATCAACCAAACATAAAGTTGTAGCAAGAAAACTATCTAGCTCACTTAAACAAATTTTGACTAAGTATTATTTTTCCTATACTCAGCTGGCAGCTGTTGGAAGTAATTCATTAAAATGATTCAAGCTGAAATGTTTATATTATTTTCTTGAGAGCAAAACTTATTCTTTATAATTGGAAAAGTCATTTCTTTTTTCATAATAAAAATGTGTTCATCATAGAGTATAATTCAGCAGTAATAAATTTAATGGCCAGAAAAAAGCAGAAATGTAATTAGTAGTATGTATCATAAATAAATGTGTGACATATGATAGGGAAGGGAACTGGTGAATACAGTGAACATAGAAGATATACACAAAGCAGCAATATTATGCTTAAGGTTTAAAAGGGCAAATTTTGCCTTAAAGATATGATTAAGTTTGCATTGACTAATTGATAAACAGACAAATAATGAACATAGGTGATCTATAATATACAATTTCTTAAAGAAGTGTATTCCTTTAAAAAAATCATCTTTACTACATTTAATTTACAACAAAACCAAATCAGGTCTGATGACTTTCATGAAAATTAAAAATAGCTAAAGTGTTTTTTAAATCTTATCTTTCATTTTATTTTTATCATGAGAATTACACCTATCTTTTTTTGTTTTAATTGTCATTTTCCCTCTTTTAGTCTAATTTTGGAATGCCAATAGACTTTTTCTGTCACGTCTTGAGTACTGGAAGACTATTCTCTTCCTTCTTCTGTTTGAATGTTCAGTTCTTTTCTGTTTTTGGTTTGCCCATAAATAATTTATATTTCTCTTTATAAATATATCAATAGTTTTAATTTCTCATTCTTTATTTTCCCTCTGGTATTTCATTTCAAAGTTGATATAATATAGTTATGTGATGTTATTCTATATTTATATACACAGTGATAATTCATTTAAATTTCTGAATCTCCTTTTTTATATATGACATTATGGATTTCTAAACTAAGATGAAGACTTAAGCAAAACTGTTATATATATATACATAAGTGTGTTAATAGTTTACAGTGTTTAGCGCTTTTTTCTGTGCTAATGGTGCAAATCATAGATATACAAAATGTATTACTCAGTGCACTGAGATAATACAATTATGAATTGTATTACTCTAACCATAGGGTCAAGTAGAAATTGGTCCTTATATATGAGTTTCCTGTTGTTTAGTGAATTCACATTTATTTAGATTAAACTTTGGTTTTACACCACCAGATGACAACAGCTTTGGTTTTTCAGAAAATTCCCTTGAACAATGCTATAGAAATAATTTATCCAAGTACCTAATTAACTTGTACATTGTATTTTCTATTTATAACTTCAGGAGAAGTTTCTCAAATAATAAATTGACATTTGAAATGAACCCAACTGTAAGATGAAGCAAATGCCCTAATCTCTTTGAAGGTCAAGTTATAAATTATTCTTATGATGAAACAGGATACTTATGGTTCATGAGCAAAATCACAGCCGTGGGCTTCTTGATGAAGGCACTGAGAAACCCTTTGTCTGTATTTCACAGGAAATGTGGACTCTGAGTTACAACAGCCGGTTTTGGGTGTCCACTGGAAGTGCAGCAGCTACACCAGGACAGTAGCTGTCATCAGTTTCTCGGAGTTAAATTCTGAAGTGAGTTCTTAATGGTTCCCAAGACTCACCACAGGATGATTAGAGCATTTGTGCTTGTCATGGAGTGGTCCCATTACTAGCTACAGGAGCCCAAGCAGGGTAAGTGTGGAGGTCAAACAGGGGCACCATCCAGGTGAACGTGCCAAGCATCACCACAGCAACACCCACAATATTAACACCAAGTCCAGCTTTAACCTTTAATAGGAAAGAGCATAAATGTCAGTCTCTCCAAAAGAAAACCTATGGGAAAATTAGAATAACATTACAGAAGGCATCTGTCAGATTTACATGCTTATTAAATCATTAGTATAAATTGTTGATTTCATAAAACAAGGAGTTCTTTCATTTATATCAAAAGAGAATATATCCCCAAATAAATGCCATTTACCTGAAGAGTCTCAGAGAGGTTCCTCTTAGGAATATATTGGTCATTCTGATTAGAAAAAAATCCCTTTAATAATCTACCAATTCGCTCTAGCCGGGTGGCTCAGTTCGTTGGAGCATAATCCCATACACCAAAAGGTTGCAGGTTTGATTCCTGATCAGGGCACATACCTAGGTTGTGCGTTCATCACTGGTACCTGGTAGGGGTGTGCATGGGAGGCAATGGATCAATGCTTTTCTCACTTCTCTCTCTCTCTAAAGATCAATAAAAATATCCTTGGGTGAGAATTAATAAGAAATCTGCCATTTCATGGTAAATCAAAATTAGAGTTTTGTGGTTTTATGTTTCAGTGGATAAAGTTCAGGCCACTATATGATAATTGGATCCTTTATAGTAAATATTATTAATAGTTTACCATTCAGTATTCTCTTATTGAGATTTAATAATGCCACTTCTATTCATCTTTCTTATAATTCCCATTTTTCTATCTCTGACACCATCATTCTGCATCCATTAAACAGTCTCAAAATCGCTTCCTATCCAATAAAAGAGAAGTCAGCCAACTCCTGCCCATGGACTATTTTTGTAAATAAAGTTTCATGAGACCACAACCTCATGCACTTGTTTACTATTGTGGGTGACTGTTTTTATGATACAATGGCAGAGTTGAGTAGCTGTGACAGAGACCAAATGGCCCACAGCATCTCAAATATTCAGAACCCAGAAATCAACCCAAGATAGTATGCTTAATTATGCTTGAAGAAAATATAAACAGGAAAATCCCAAACATCATACATAGCAGAACTTTCATGGATGCAACACCAAGGGCAAGAGAAACAAAGGAAAACAATTAATAAATGGGACTAGATAAAACTAAAAAACCTTCTACACAGCAAAAGAAACCAGCATAAAAATGAAAAGGGAATCCACTGTATGGGAGAATATATTTGTCAATGATACATCAGTCAAGGAGTTAATATCCAAAATATATAAACTACTCATACAACTCAAAAAAGGCAGACAAACGATCCAATTAAAAAATGGGCAGAGGATCTGAATAGACACTTCTTCAAAGAAGTCATACAAATGGGCAAGAAGCATATGAAAAATGCTCAATGTCACTGATCATCAGAGAGATGCAAATTAAAATGACTGAGGAAGTATCACCTCACACCTGTCCAAATGGCTGCCATCAACAAATCATCAAACAAGTGCTGGTGAGGTTGTGAGAAAAAGGGACTCTAGTACACTCCTGATGAGAATGCAGACTGTGGCAGCCATTATGGAAAACAATATAGTATTTCCTCAAAAAATAAAAAATGTAACTTCCTTTTAATTCACTTATCCCACTTCTGGGAATATACCTTGAGAAGCCTGAAATACCAATCACAAAGAATATATGCACCCTTATGTTCACAGCAGCACTATCACAATAGTTAAGATTTGGAAAGAGCCCAAGTGTCCATTAGTAGATCAGTGGATAAAAATCTGTGGTACAGCCCTGGCCGGTTTGGCTCTCTTACCCCCTCACCCTCCCGCTCTATCTGAAGATACATGCAAAAATGTCCTTGGGTGAGGATAAAAAAAAATCTGTGGTACAGCTCTGGCCAGTTTGATTCAGTGGTTAGAGTGCCAGCCCCCTGACTGAGGGGTGGTGGATTCAATTCCTGGTCAAGGACACGTACCTGGGTTGCAAGTTTGATCCCCAGCTCCAGTTAGGGTTGTGTAGGAGGCAACCAATCAGTGTGTCTCTCTCACATGGATTTTTACCTCTCTCTCCCTCCCTCCTTCCATTCCATTCTATCTAGAAATCAACTGAAGAATATCTTCGAGGGAGGGAGGACTAAAAAAACAAAACAAAAACCATTCTGGTGCATCTTACATATGCAGCTGTAAGAAAGAAAGACCTCTTATCCTTTCAAATGACATGAAGTGACCTGGAGGGTATTATGCTAAGCGAAATGTCAATCAGAAAAAGACAAGTACCACATGATCTCACTTATTTGTGGAATATAATGAACAAAATAGATCCAGAAATGTGGAACTAGGGAACAGACTGACAAACCTCAGATATTCACTGTCTTGTTCTTTACAGAGAAGCCTGCTTACCTTTGCCTTCTCTGTGTTAAAACATGGAGCCAAAGCAAAAGGAGGGTACCCAGCAGTGATTACTGTCGAGATCTTTTCTGTCCATGCAAGCCACTCATTTATTCCAGAACCTTGTTTTATTTTTTAAATTTACATACTTAGAACATTGCTTATGTTATGTACATTTTCTTTACTAAAATAATAGTACATGACTTCTGCACAGAGTCATTTTCAGAATTTTTACCTTGCAGGGGTAGCAATCTATGTGGAGGAAAGGAAACTGAGACTTATCTTGAAGTCGTATTTGCGTAGCAAGCTCAGTGAATTTTCTTTAGTTATATTCCTGTTTGTTTTGGTTTGGAAGCTAACAATCAAAATAGGGAGCAGTCTAGAGTATTCTCAAGCTAGTTCCCAACTCTCACTACTTTCGGATTTAGCAAAAACGTGTGTTTTTTCACTTAACTTTTATATTATTACCTGCTTGTGTTTTCACTTCAGGTGTCACTACTAGAATTAGAGCAAGAAACACGTCTTTTCATCAGTCAGGTACTGAGCCTCATGTCTGATTCAGAGCAAATGCCAGTCGCATAAATATGTGTGATAGCAAACCACAGTGCTTGATTGCTAAATTTCATCAACCCTATTCTTTCCTCTGCCTAGGTCAAGTTAGATCTGATCTTGTCATATAAGTTTAAACCTCTGTGTTGAGCCTGATTTATGTTCTTTTCCTTCTTCTAGGACATAGCTGATATATTCAATATCCCTGTATTCTTGACTATACATTCAATGACATGACTGCTTCTGGTTATCAGTCTTAAAAACAATTCTATGGCCAGTCACACAATCAGTTTCAGAAGCAGAACTCAAGCCATGTTTTTGTGGCAGTTGATTGGTGTGTAAAAGGAGAGATAACATTAGACATCACAAACACTGGCTCCTGAACCTGATGGTGTTCTTTCAGCTTACTCACCATGTCCATAACTTTTAGATGGCCATATGAAAAAACAATAGCATTGGATGGATTTGCTACTGGTAGTAGGAATGCAAATGAAGTACACAGAGTAGAAGGTATCAAAATATAAAGAGGGTTCAAATGAATGGCTTCAGCCTGTTGGAAAAGAAAACAAGGAGTCTGAGTAAAATTTTGAGAATGCACCAAACATCAAAATGAGCAAAATTATAACAAAAAACTTTCCCAGAATCACGTTGAAACTTAAAGACATAAAATTATACATAAATGCAATTATAACTTTAAGAATATTTTTCAGATAATGCCTCTTTCTCTTGTTTATATGTTTACTAGTGCCTATTTAAGTATTATAGCTCAGTTTATTTAGAAAATAAGGTTTCATTTATTTCAGAAACTAAACAAAAACAGAAAACATTTATTAGTTATTGAGTACTAGGTGCTATGCTAAGTGTTCACATATATATAAAATATGTTTACATATAATATACAAAGTTTACATATATGTAATTTAGAAAATAATGTGTTATAAGTATACATACATATACTCAATATTCACAATGACCTTATGAGATGGCTACTATAGTCCTAATTAACAAATGAAGAAACCAATGCCCGGAAAGTCTAAAATAAGTCCTCAAACACAGAGCTGACAAGCAGTGCAACTTAGGTAGGGTCTCAGGTCCCTCTGACTCCAAAGCCTCTCATCATTCCATTAACTTTACTGCCTCTGTGACATATAATTTAAAATTTGCTTAGGGGTCATCACAGAAGAAAAATTACAATGATTAATTTATCACGTAATTTTCTAACTGTTCTACATTGAAAAATAAAAACCAGAAGAAGATAAAATAATATTTTGCCAATTTAAATCCCCAACATTTCTTTTCTAATTTGAAGCAGCATCTCAAGAATGCCAACATATGCCCCTTGAGCTACTAGCAGAAAATTTCCAGAAGGGGCAATCCTTCTTAATTTAATGTGCTTTGCTTTCACCGAACCCATCTGTCCAATAAAAAAGACATTTACTTAAAGCTATTTCTTATAATTGCTAGCTAGGTGGGGAGAAGAAGGGAAGACAGTCTTTCCCTCTCTCTCCTTGCAAATACGCTCTTACTTATCTTAGAAAATTCTTCCCTGGGAAGTAGAGAACTGTGTCTAAAATATGTAAGCTTGAAGCCTGAAGTGTAAGTCTCGGTTTGTATTCACTTGCAAATCACTTACATGAAGCACTTCTCAGAAGTTCAAAAATAATCTTCTGGAGGGAGAAGTGTCAGAGGTAAAGGTCTAAATACTCAAGTTGCTAGGACACACTGAATCCCAAAGTCTTATAGCTGGAAAAGATCTAGGGTGACCCTCCCACTTATCTGCAAATAAAAAATCTGGGTGGAGAAAGGTAAATGGTGAAGATCCTGCTGCTTGAATGTGGAGAAAAGAGTTCTCCCGAGTTGAGGTCTCCTAAAAGGTATTAATGCAAATGAAGACCACTCTATAAGTTACTTCCAGGAGGACCATTCAGGCCAAAGATGATTCTACACCACAATATGGGAACAAGAAAAACAGAACACTGCTCTTTTGATGAAGAAGATAAATGGGATACTCACCAATGGAGATAATATTGGGAGAAGGAGAGTAATGGTAGCTGCATTGCTGGCTACCTCTGTTAAAGATGTGACGAGCAAAGAAGATATCAGAATGATTAGCCATTCTGGTAATGATCCTAGAGGAGATAATTTATTTCCTATCCACAGAGAGAGTCCTGACTCCTAAAAAAACAAATTTACATTATTTGTTATTCACCAATAATTCATTTTAATAGACACAATTTAAATTTATGAAGAACATTATTTCTCTAAGAACTCAGTTTCTAAAATATAATTTTAATATCTCATATGACTTGGTAGATCTAGGTGGCTTAGAGAAACCCTTAATTACTTCTATTTTAACACTATCAATATGCTTTAGAAAGTTTGAATTGTCTCCTACATTTTTTCAATTAAATTTTAAGTTTGTCTAATTAACATATATGGACATTACAACAAGCAGTATTATAGGGCTTTAAGAAAAGAGCTGCGCTTCTGGTCTACCTGCCTCCACTCCTAAAGCATGTTCTTTAGAAACAACAATTTTCAACCAATATTAGCTATTTAGAGCTATGTTTAGGTATTTGTGGCTATTTTCAAAATTTCACTTTTTCCATGCCCTGGCCAGTTTGGCTCAGCAGTTGTGAGAGCATCGGCTCAGAGACCAAAGGGTTGCAGCTTTGATTCCCGGTCAAGGGCACTACCTGGGTTGCAGGTTTGATCCCCTGCTCTGGTTGGGGTGCTTGCTGGAGGCAACCAATTGATGTTTCTCTCTCTCTTTCTCTCCCTCCATCCATTCCACTATCTAAAAATCCATTGAATAATATCCTCCGGTGAGGATTAACAGCAACAACAAAATTATGCTTTCTCCTAATTTTCAAATTTAGTATTTACTGATTTACATAAGAATTCAGCTTCCTTATATCATCCACCATACATATATTTCCTCTCCTCCATTCCCTCACACTCATATATTAACTTTTATTAAATCAATATATAAAGTTTACCATTATGATTATATGAATATTGTTCACACCAAGTAATTTAATATACTGTGATTATATTTACTGTTGTTTGTTTTTTCAGGGAATTATTTGCTTGGTTTTCTAAGTACCTGTCACTAATTCTGCAGCATACTCTCCAGTAAAATTGGAAAACTTCCTACAAGTAGACAAACATACTGTTTTTCTTTCTCATTTTCCCTCATGGAGATGTCCATTCTGGAGTATTTCCTCTGTCGGCTTCATCTGGACTCACTGACCTTCATATCTACTCTACTGTTGTTCTGAGACCTCTCTTCCTGGTGTACTGTGAACTGCCCTCGCCTCCTTCTCCCATGGGAATCCCTTCTTCTTAAAGCCTTTGTGTTGGTGGATCACCTTCTTCTATAGCTTTCTGAGAACTGGTGTATGGGAAGCATTTTGTTTTTGTTTTTTGTTTTTAGTGTCTGCATGTCTAAAAACCTCTTTATTTTCTTTTCACACTGTTTTGATAGTTTAGCTTTTGTAAAATTCTAGACTTGAAGTGGTTATCACTCAGATGACACTCGGATCTTTGACTCATTGTACGTAGTACAAAGAGTTTGAGCTGTACTCAAATTAATAGCTATGTTATTCTATTCTCTACCACTACCCTGCCAATGGAAGGGAACATGCTCCATTAATGAGATTTCAGTGAGCTACTGCATGAGTGAATTTTATGCTCATGTCAGACTAGGATTGGTATCTTTAAGAAAAACTCTAATTACAAACAGTATACCCTTAGATCAAAGTTGGCAAACATCCCCAGTTATGAATACTAGATACTATGTAGGTTATTATGGTTTTGACTTATATTTTTGTTTTGTTTTGTTTTTTTTTTGGTTTTGAATTTTAGATGAAAAAAGTCTGCCTACCATTTAAATCATATTGGCAAAAAGTTCATCTTAGAATATAACTATATATATATTTTACAAATGAATTTTATCTATGTTTGATTAGAAGGTACTAGAAAAGATTATACCACATATTGTACCCCCATATCTGGAAATAATTGGAATCATATCATCTCAACCAAAATTTCAAAATTCTACATGAAGTGCTTTGGCATTGGGTACTTAGTAGCTTTCTCAGTTCATAATCTCAAAGTCCTCAGTTCTGGGAAATTTCTTGTATTATTTTTGGAAATGTCCTTCTATTTCTTTTTCTTTTCTGACTTCTTTTTCTTCTCTTTCTGATACTTTTATTTTTTGGCTGTTGAAGATTTTGGATTGCTACTATAATTTTACTTTTTTTTATATATTACCTTCATCTTTTTATTTTATTTTCTGAGGTAAATTCAAACTTCATCTTCTAACTCTGCTACTGAGGTTTTTAATTTCTGTTACAATATTTCTTATCTTCAGTGAGTCTTTCTTATTTTCTATCGATCTTCTTTTTAAAAAATAACATTCTATTTTAGTTTCATGTCTTTAATGTTTCTAAAATCTCTTTGGGGTATCAATGAAACATTTTAAAATTTTTCTTTTGTTTCATACATTTTCTTTGCTTTTATGTGTTCCTTTTCAATTTTTCTTCTTTATTACTGGTTATTATATCAGAGGCTTTCCCAACTAGCTGATAATCCCAGACTGTTTATTCACGTTTAAAAGGGAGGCAACAAAATAATGATTGAAAGCTCTTTGTGCAAAGATGGTTAAGAAAAATAAAAAATACTTTATTACAGCTGAATGAGCTGTGATCCAGTGTCTCACTGATTCAAATTTATTATAGAATAAATCTACATTATCCATTAGGGCAGAGAGAGAGTTCAAGGCTGGAGGAAGTATTTGTGAAGGTCACAGTTCCTTATACACTTCGAAACCATCGTCTACTTGTAGTACTTTCATTTAATCTGCTGCTTTCAATTTCTAAACTCTTGCAGGATACTGTGGATGAGTCAGTTTCTGGTTGGCCATCCATTTTAAGGTCCATAGATTTCATCCTTCTCTACTATTTCTACAGTACAAAGTCAGGTATCCCTCAGACATCTGTTTCCATCTTTTCAATTTTATTAACATCTCTTATATATAACTATTCCTGCCATAATTTCTTTATCTTTATAAATTGAATTTTTTTTTGTTCTGTTAATTGCCATTTCAGTGGGGAGCTGAGAATAATAGTGTTTAATCTTCCATGTTTAAAATCACAGAAAAATTTTGAGGAATGTGTGAAAAAGGGAGAGGAGGTATTATTCACTGATAAGAATTTGAAAGTGACTACCAGTGCATGAGAGTTCAATCATGTTAAAACATATCAAGGGGCATTTAAGAGAGAGGGAATTGCAATGAGGTGAATGGTTTAGTAGCTGCTATCTCACAGTTCCCAATTAGAAGTATTATTTCCTTCTGGGCATTTACCAAACTAATTTCAATTTGGGACACTATTTTTAAAATTAACTGTTTCCAAATCTTTGTAAAACCAGTTTCTAGGGGCACACTTGCCCATAGCTAGATTTTTGAAGTTCATGGCTTTCACCTCACCATTCAGGTATAGGGTTATTCTGGGTATCCCATAGAAATGTAAGTCTGTGTAGTACTAGATTTTTCATAGAAAACTAGACCTCTTTCCATGGTTTCCCAGTCCTTCCCGGGACAGAGCCTACTGCATCAGACTAAGTCCACATCTTCTCATTTCCTTAGACTTTGCTAGACTAGGGTCTGGCCATTGCTTTTAAAATCTCTTCGACCCTGGCCGGTTTGGCTCAGCGGTTAGAGCATTGGCCTGCGGTCCAGAGAGACCCGGGTTCAGTTCCTGCTAAGGGCACGTACCTCGGTTGCAGTCTGTCCCCAACCCTGGTTGGGTCGTGTGGGTGGCAACCACTCGATGTGTTCTTTTCACGTCAATGTTTCTTTCTCTCTCCCTCCCTCCCACTCCACTCTATCTGAACAAAAAATGAAAAAAAAAAAAAAAAATGTCCTTGGGTGAGGATTAAAAAAATAAATAAAATAAAATAAAATAAAATAAAATAAAATAAAATAAAATAAAATCTCTTTGAGGGTCCAATCCAGACAGATATTCTAAGAAGAACAGTTCACATCAGCGCGAGAAATGCTGATTCTGATTTCCTCACAATTCAGATGAGCAGGCATAGGAAGGGAAGTTATTGATTCTGAGAAACCAGATCTCATTACTGCTGGACTAGTAAAAAGGTGTATTTGTCTTATATTTTTCTCATTTATATTTGAGCAGTCTGTAAGGCAAGCCAAATCTAGACTGAAAATGACTTTGTAAGTGGCACTCAGAATTTTACCTATTACTAAATCTTGTTGCTGAAACTTCAGTATCCAAATACAATACAGAAAAACTGCCAATAAAGTCAGAAGCAAAAACCAGTCTCCCTGTAGGTTGTTAAGAAGAGAACAGAACAGGTAGTTTTTTGCCTTGAGAAGTATAAAAGTTTAACTTCTCAGAAACTAAAAAGCTAGACACATCTCTCTTGCTATCCTTTTTACTTTGATGACAGAATAATGAAATGGAACAGCCATGAGCTTTGAGTGCTTCACAGAAGGCTGCAAAATCCAGAAATGAGAGGTTTTTAATTTGTCAAAGGGTAAAGGATTTTTATGAAATTTCTGAAGCAACCCTATAATGACCAGGGCAATTTTAGGGACAGCGACTTTCCCAGACTTCTACTTTATATCAACTGGATAGACAGGCCAAAGAAATAGCCAACTCTAATCCTCCTGGTGGTTTTACTTCTCCCTAAAATTAGACATAGTACAATATTAGCTATGGTTATGTGAAATTCTCTTAGGCCTTTATTCCATAAATGTGTATTCAGTACCTTTAATATATTTAACATGTAATAAATAATATAATAAATAGATAATGTAATAAAGTACTATTATTTCTCATTGTCCTTCTTTGACAATATTAGGACCGTGATATATTTCAGAGAACTCTGAGAGCTACTCAAATCCATCATGAATTTAGGTAAAAATATAAACAGAAAATGTTTCATTAAGAGTCACTGGATGTATGGTTTTTATCTTTTATTAAGTTAGTCTTCTAATACTATTTCATAAATAAAGAATTCTAATCTTCTTTGCTTTGTTTCTTTTGACATACTGGCGCATCATAAAAAATGATGTTTTATGCTTGGAGCTTGTAAAATGTTTTGAACTCTGAACTCACCTCATCTGTGTGATATATTTACTGCCTGGCTATTGAAACCCGTTCAATATGGATGAAGTTGAATACAACAAAAGCCCGAATGTCCCTATGTCCTCCTTTGGAACAGCCTAGTTAATAGTTAAATATCTTAGACACAGATTATTACCACACAGCCATCTGCCAAGGCAAACCCTCCACCAACGAGAATGGCTATATCCCAGGGCATGACTGACTGGAATTCTTTCCAAGTAATCAGCGGAGAGTAATCAAAAGCAACTGCAAAACAAAAACCCCATCGTTACACATTGCTTAAAATATTTTTTGTTCATTATCATAATGGTTATCTCAAAAGAAGTTTTTCATATTCCTGTGTTGTGTTTAGATATTGGATTTGATCTGAACTTTGAGCAATTTTCACCTGGCCTAGGTGGAACATTTTATTACTTTAAAAGGTGATAACTTGGAAACGTCTTTTAGATTATATTATACAATATATTTAGATAAATTATAATATTGTTATTTATAATGCTATTCATTCATTCGACTCCACTAACATCTTTGCCTACTATGAGTAACACAGTGTACGGACTATTTTTTCTTTGCTATGCAAAATGTCTGTAAAAGTCTAATGGTTGTGATAGCATCAGTGTTGCATTATTTTTCACTAGTATTTATTTGAATATTTTATTATTTTTTCAACTTATAAGGGGGCTCACATTAGATTCATTAGGATTCTAGTTTAAAATAATTAAAAATTCAGGTTAAATTTAAGTATCATTCATGGGACCGCTAAAATGTTCATAAAGCAATTATTCTTAAAGATTTCTCTTGATATTTAGTTCCTGATAGCTCCATAGATTTGTTGAGAAATAAGGTCATCCATGAACACATTATTCCCATTTAATATTTATGTGTAACAGGCAGCCTTCTACATGGTGAGATTCTAAGGTTATTAATAAGCTTCCTTCTTATCTCCTTTCCCCAAACCTAAACCAAACTTACCCGTCACAGTTGATTGAAATTTTGCTTACTTGAATTAAGGCCATATATCCTGTTAAAATGCAAACATCTTTGAAATGTATGTAAAATTTAACATAGTAAGTCTTATCTGTTATTTTTAAATCTGTGAATTAGTTTGTCAGGGAGAAAAACTGTTGAAGAATGAGAAGAATGACAGATGGGGCAAGGCTCTCTAAGGGGGACTCAGATGTGGGAGCTGGTGATGTTCAGTCAAATACTGGTTCCTCAACACTTGTCCCTGCCAGGCCGTGGGGCTTTGACTGCAATGGTCAGAGTTCTCAGGGTTTCATAGGAATCACTGACCTGTACGGCAACATTTCCTCATAACACACTTTGATATGTTCTAGTCTCAGTGAAGAACAAAAGGCATTTATTTCTATGCTATGCTGTTTACATTTGTCATGGCCTAGAAATCGGACTCATTAGTCATTTATTGATTCTAACTCAAGGAACCAGGTGGGCCAATCCAAAAGATGAATCCCAGTTCCATCCCAGCAAAAAAAAAAAAAAAAGAAAGAAAGAAAACACAAACCAACAATAAAAAACCACAACTCTATTCTACCTGACTATTTCCAGACAATTTAAGCCATTTGCCCCACAGTGACAACATAGGAATCTGCTTTCCTAAAATATGCTTGGTTAGTATAAAGCACAGGCATGGGTGAATCCTATGTATAAGAAGTGTGAGTGGGGGTCGGGTGGGGGGTGATTATACTCACATAAACATGCACACATCTTTGTCCATGTGTTATAAAGACAATGAGTGCTTCCTCTAAATACCTTTTCTTTCATCTGTGACACTAAGTTATGGGTTAGTATAGGGTTGATTTGCATGCTCTTTCCCTTGAGACTCCTCACCTTTGTAGATCCTCAACATTTAGTACTAAGGGCGCACCGTGAAGTAATGACTTGTTCCTATGTTTGTCAATAGTAAGATTAATTCTGATTATGATAGAGGATGTGGGCTTATCAGGGACCAAATAGCAACACTCAGCAGAGTCCTAATATGCAGCATAAGGAAATCTACTTCTTACCTCTGCAAAGATGACCCTTCTTGTAACAGAAGGATCTTGTACCTGAATAGGGGTTGCAGGGTACAAACAGGGCATGTGTCAACATGTCCATCCTTTTCTTCTAAATGCTAACTGAAACCAGTGGAATCTTGTGTATTTTTGCTCTTCTGTCAAATTCATTCACAATTATAAATAATACTCAACCAATTTCTCCTGTAGGTGTAGTTTTTGTCAGTTTCTGAGCAGGGATAAGAAAGAATAGGAGTCCTATAAGTAAGGCAACGGTTGAGTCTGTAGCAAAACCAGAATACCTGAAAAAAGACAAATGTGTACATTAAAAAATGACATCCAGAATTTGTAGGAACAAAACAATAATTGACTATGGTATTAGAATATAAGTAGTAGGGATGGTATATGTAGAATATTTACTCTGGATAATCTGCTCTAAAATCTATGGATTTTGCACCAAATGATTTTGCACTAATAAATTAGTGGAACTGAAACTTTCAGACCATGTTTCCATTGTTTCCCTATACTTTTTTTTTCAAAACCATGTATACACATGCTGACCTACTAGGCCAACATGGCAAACTTCCCTTTTAGGTAAAGCTTACAGATCTGGTAAACAATTTTTTCTTTAAATTATTTCTTTTTATTATATTGGCAAAGAATTGATGTTGAAACAATTAATAGGCTAGGCAAAGCCTTGTATAATTGATTTACAACATACTGGTATTGAATTGTGGCAAGGCATGGATGTTTCTAGAGTCCTTGAAAACTCTTCAGTAAATTGTAAAAGTGAATGATTTGTTTTTCTAAGTTATAACATCTGCTTCTGTGATTATAAGCTCTAGCCATATCATACAAATGAAATCAACCCATTTAATGCTTTGCACCATATGAAACTTAATCAAGAATATTAATTATTAGAATGGCTTATGCGATGCTCATAAGTGATCACTGTTCAAATTAAAAGTGATTCAGGAACAGATGGGGTTTTAGGATCATGAGGCCATTCCAGCAAACAAGACAGGTTCCCAGAAGCCTCATCAGTTAAGAAGCACCTGGAGACTAAATATGAATGAAACAGGCATAAATAATTAGAATTTGGTCTTAAAAGTCAGCAATATTTAACTAGTGAATCTTCAGATTCTGAGAAGAAATCCTTGCATACTAAAGATTATTATGCCACTTTGTAACTTAGCAATGCATACATACTGTAGAAGCTCTCTACTCCTGTAATTTACTTGAACAAACTAAGTAATCAAGGAAGGGTATTATATTATTCAATACAATTTTATAAAGCAGTTTTTTTCCCCCTAAATATAGATTTTCTTTATTTCATTGTTAAGTAAAGAAAGCTACCTTGGTGTAATTTATTCAACAAACTTAACTGATATTCATTATTTCATTGTTCCTTATTTATTTTATTTTAGTAGTAAGTTATAGTTGGATGTTTTGCCAAATTAGGTCAGGCATCATGTAATCTGATTTTGCTTTTATGAAAAGACATATTGGATTCAGTCCAAGTTCAAACAGATGGAATGAAAACATTAGGTGGTAGCTATAAATCTTGATATATCATTCTCATTTGGAACATCTAAATGCCTAAAACCTCTACATTACAAATATATTCTACAGAATATATACTTAAAATAAAATCAAGCCATAAACACTGAAATAATTTATTTTCAAAAAAATTTTAAAACTATTGTTTTGTTACTTTTAAATTTTAGTTTCTTATAAACTAATTTAGGTTTTTCAGTAATATAAAATATTAAGATTATATAAATTTTATTTGATTTTATTTATATCTTCAAATCCCTTCCTATCTCAAACCTTTGTTCCTTTTTCTATTGTTTTCTCTCAGAATTCTAGGTGACATGCACACCTGCCCATAGCAAACTCTCTGTTTTCCTGTTACAAACAAAACATCTCCTGAAGTACATTTCCCTCCTATAAGAAAGATAAATTAGAAACTGATAATATTGAATTTACTATTGGGATTTCTGCTTGGTTTTTATTAGCTGTTGTTTTATTTCATATAGTTTTTACACATTGGTGTTTAGAAAGGACTCTCCTTACCTAGAATGGGCGAAGAAGAATTTTAAAAAGGTGGAAGAATTATTTTTTTATGTTGGTCTAGGTCCTATTACAAAACTACATAGTACCATCAAACTTTAAACAATCATTTGCATTGAATAATTGGAGGCTGTCTTTTGTTTAGACCTCTCACAATGAAAAGATTAGTCTTCAAGGAAACAAAACACTTATAAAGCTGAAGCAGATTCTTTGGAACATGCTACCACGTTGCATTGCTACACTTGTGTGCTCACTAGGAATTTGGGCTCTGAATTTGCCTTTAAAAAGTGCTGGCAGTGCCTTTATAACCAAAAGGTTCAGATTCAAGAAAAAGAAATGTCTTTATTCTGTGTGGGAAGAATACATTTGACTCAATTTCGGTTTCTGTCCTCAAATACATGGATTCTTGCTGGGGCATGTGAGATAGGAAGTCCAAATCAGAGACCTGCTGAATTTAGAAACCAGATTAATTCAGTGGAAGATAGATTGGGAACACAAATTCCGAAACCAAAGTATTTATAGTGACATGTAGGATGGCCCTTAATTTAGAAAATTATGCTACAATCTTCCCCCTCATTTCACATGATTCAGCAATGACTGCTGGTATATAAGACATGAGAGATAAAATTAACTCTGACCTAGCTTCTAACATTAGTTTGTAAAATCAGACTTATTACTTAACCATAAATTCCTTATCTACAAAATAGGGACAGACGTGGATTTATGGTGAACTAGTGTTTAATGGATATAAATAGAGAAAAAGACAAGATATTGAACCAAATAAATAATCCCCCATAGAAGTAAAAAAAAAAAAATTAAGTTGGCAAAATTCACAGAACATGAATTCATATTCAAGTTATTAAGAATCACTGAGTGACATTTTACATAATAAACATGTATATTGAACTTCATATAGAGAGAAGGGCAGCCCTCTTCTAAGTGCTATCATTAGTGCCGTTTTACAGATAAAGAAATTCAGAGGTGAGACCTGTCCAAAGTAAGTGGAAGAGGCAGGGATAGAACTCAAGTGGTGTGGCTCCAAAATTTACACTCCGAATTACCACAGAATATGGATTTCTTGCAGATTATATTTCTAATTTTGCAAGGATGAAAATAGCCTTGTCTTAAAAAGACTGGACTTTAGTTATATGGTAATTTGGTTCTCTTGTCTGAGGCTTTACCTTAGATTTCATTCCTTATCATTTTTTTTCCTGAAAGGATTAGAATTAAAAATTATTTTCAATGGAAAGAAAGAATAAAATCTCATACAATCTTTCAGAGTTATAGGAATCACTTAGGAGAAAAGCACAGTATAAAAGAGGAAGTGTTGATGAACACAACATAAAACACTTACTTGGAAAAAAGTTCAGACCAACCGGTAACAAACCCAGGCTCTCGGCTAAACCACAGCAGGGCCATTATAAAAAAGAGGACCAAGGTGATAATTTCCTGATACCTGTAAAAAAAAAAAAAAATTCAATCCTTTCATGTATTTTCTCAGGCTGGATATTTGTAGAAACTACCTGAGCTAATGTCAGGAGTAATCTTACCAGAACACTAAACATTAAAAACTGGATGTGTCAATAATTTGAGAGAATCAGTGCAATTAGAAAGGACTGTATTCTTTGGTGGGCCTTTCAGCTTCTTGTCATTCTACCCAGTACATTTTATTTAGAGAAAGTATGTATTTTGTCATGTTGAGGTTAGCACTTACTTTCACAAAGGTTAGCACACTTGGGGTCCTTATCAAGTGTTATAAATACATTGCAGACAATTACTGGTTTTTTGTGTTTTTTTTTTATCCACCTGAGGATATTTTTTCATTGATTTTTAGATAAAGTGGCAAGGAGAAAGAGAGAGAGAGAGAGAGAGAGAGAGAGAGAAACATGATGTGAGAGAGACACATGGATTGGTGCAACTGGGACTGGGGATTGAACCTGCAACCAAGATATGTGCCCTTCACTGAGATCAAACCCATGATCCCTGGGTCTGCAGGCTGATGCTCTAACTACTGAGCCAAATTGGTCAGGGCTGTACTTTTTGTTTTTAATAAAACTTGCAGTATAAGCAGGGTGTGTGTGTGTGTGTGTGTGTGTGCACACGCACGTGCATCCATCTTACCTTATTGGCCCAAGTTTTTTGTATTCTTGTTTAATCACATCAGCATAAGCCTTTTGTTCATCTGTCTTGGTCTTTCCACATTTAAACATCTCCTTAAAACTGAAAAAAAGCAATTAAGGCAGTTAAGCAAAGGATTCTCTCTTTCTAGACAATACTTACGTGAAAATTTCATAAAATACAAATCTCCCTGCTAATAATAGAAATCTGAGTTTTTAGCCTATACCTCCATCTCCTTCTTTAAATATCCTCTCCCCTCTTTTCTGGTTTTGCCTGACTTAATAATTTTCACTGCTTAATTTTTATTCCATATTTTCCATGCCATCTTCCATTCATCTCTTACTTTTCCAAGTCCTTTTGCACCATTAAAATTTTGCCATGTTCCACTCATCTCCAATTTAATACTTTAATATGTACCTTACTGTTATATATTTTTATATTTCTTGATTGTTAAAAGTTGCATATGAGTGGCTTTTATCTCACTGATTAGATAAACTATTTGAGGGCAGGATCTGTGTCATAAATGTTTTCTTTGGCCAAATATCTCTAAACACTGGCGTACACAGTAAATACTGGGTTCATCAACTCAACCTCACCTTTGTCAGATTTATGAGACAGTTGGTTGTCACACCCATCAATTTTAACAAACTATGCTAAGCTCAAGTTATACACTGGGGCAGGGAAGTCCTATACACTGATCACGAGCACAGTTCAAACTGGATCTGTTCTCAGAACTAAAACCAACTGTATTCCATCTTTTATTCAAGATTTTTCATCTCTTATGTCCTAACAGCCTCCATTAGATAAATTTTCAACTTATTTCCAATAGTAACTACCACTTTCTGTTCTTTTTAGCTGCTTATTTTAGTGACCTTTTCCCCTGGTAACTAATATTTGTGTCCTGAAGTCCAGGGTCTTCACAACTTTGAACAGTTTTTGTGTGACATATGGCTCTACATCTAGATTAAAAAAAAAAAAAAAAGACGAAGAAACAAATGGGAAAATGCCTAGATTGTTATGGATTGTCTATGTCTATGAGCCGCTCAGCTAGATTACATTATATGTAGGTGTAAAAAGCACTTCTGAATATATAACTAACAGAATTGAATTCTGGATCTCAAAGAGATCGGCATGCACATGTTCACTGCAGCATTATTCACAATAGTCAAGGCATAGAAACAACTTAAATGTCCATCAACAGACACATGGATAAAGAAAAGGTGGTATATACTTACAATGGAATGTTATTTAGCCATAAAAGGGAATAAAGTACTGAAACATGCTACAACATGGATGGACATGGAGGACATTATGCTAAAAATGAAATAAGCCAGACTTAGAAAAACAAATACTGTGTGATCTCACTTATATGTGGAATCTAAAATGGTCAAACTCATAGAAGCATAGAGTAAAAATAGTGGTTGCCAGGGGCTAGGGACAGGGAATATGGGATGTCAGTCACAGGGTACAAAATTTTAGTTATGCAGAATAAGTAAGTTCTGGAATAGGATCTATGATTAACAATACTGTATTGTATACTTAAAATTTTGCTAAAAGGGTACATCTTATGCTAAGTGCTTTTACCACAAAGGAAAAAAGAAAAGGACATAGGAGGAATATTTTGGAAGTGATGAATAAGTTTATGGCATCAATATTAATGATGGTTTCATGGTTTATAATTACCTACAAACACATCAAGTTTTGTATACATTAAGTAACTACAGCTCTTTCTATCATACCTCAATAGAGCAGTTTTTAAAAAGAATAAAAGCAGGAGTATTTCTTCTGTAAAATTGCTGGAGTAAACATTGATGTTTATAATGGAGTAAATAGGAAGACTGGGGTGGCATGAAGGTAGCTATCATATAAAGACATTTGCTTATTTATTTATTTTCCTTTGACACTGTTATTTGAACTTGTTTGGACTATTACTGTTTTACAAAAAGATGACTTTCCTCAATTCTTAAGTCATCCATCCTACGTATTCATAATCACTCTACTGCACATACTCCAACCATGAACACAATTAGATGAATGTAGATGTATTTAAGATCATAAATTACTGATTAGTTATAGTGTCAAAATTTTACCCCTTGTCACAATATAAATATTATTATAAGAAACATCCATGGACCTCCTCAGAAACAACTATAGAATAGATAATAGAATTAAAGAAAGAAACGAGTCTCCTTAGAAACTGTTTCCCACACTACAGACTGCATTTGTATTTTGTCACTTTGGTTGGGGACCATGAATAGTTAAATCAGAAATGAAATTGGCTTTGCTATAAATGAAGGTTAATGACTTCACAAAGGAACTGATAAAGCATATGACAATGCATCAACCTCTCCATTTAAATAAGTTTGGTGGCACAGATAGATGAGCTTCTTTGTCCCCAGTATGTTGATCATTTATTATGTGAGAGTTAACTGTGTTAACAGCCAACACACTAATCAGAATGTATGGTGACCTACCAGGAGAGTGGCTGGTCATTCCTGTTTGTCAATATAAAACCTCTGGAGGTGAACACCCAGATAGACTGAAAAAGACACTGAGAAATGAGCTGGAGCACGAAGCTGTGCAGTATCTAACCAACAGTGGACAGCAAGGGGACTGTTTCAACATGTCACTGGTTGTGATTTATGGACTTTGCCTAATGTATGCCCTTCACAAGATTTTTTTTTCCTCATGGAGAACACATTTAAATACATCTTCCCTTTATCTTTTTGATTTCTCCTTTTTAAATGGGGAGGCCATTTCCAAATAATGACACTGGTTGCAGACATATTTTATAAAGCCATTTACATGTAGCAAAAAAGAAGGAAAGAGCTGTGGGTCTGTGAGCAGAAGCCTTCTTCATTGGCTTGAGTTTCCTGTCCCTGCAGCCTGGATCGCTACCTGTACAACTGAATACACACCCGAAGGCTTGGATTTTCAGGAAGGGGCACTTAGTATGCACCTGGCCTCTCACCACTGATGCCCACCTGCTGAAGTCAGTGACATTCCACACATTTGCTTCAGCAGGGGCACTGCCACACGCTGCTCCCACAATCTGGACAGAAAGATTTTTTAAAATCACCAGTACCATCTCTCCACTACTAATAAAATTGCAGCCGTTCTGAAGAAAAAAAACAGGAGGAGGAGTGGGAAGGGGAAAAACAGTCCTTATATGACTGGACTTAGAAAATTTGGGTGCAGGCATGGAATAGCACCTGATCGCCGCATTTTGCTTTTCAAGGGAAGTACAAATAGCTGATGTCTCTGTTTCACCTGTGTGGTGGGTAACATGCTGTTTTATTCATTAGTCCTTGAAATTATTCAAATAAAATCCTATACAAATGAACTTGAATTTCTTTATTTTTCAGGAAAAAATCCTCAAGATTTGGCATACAGACTTTTCTCCTTCCTTTTTTGGAGTATGGTTTTATGTCTTAAATATATAATGCTATATTTTCAATTTTAATGTTGAGCCCTTCATAATTTTAAATACTGGCTATCATTCGAGTCATGTATCATTGGTCCTTATGAATCACCAAGTTCAGTCCCAGACTAGGTAATGTTTTCAAAACTTCTTAACTACATACATTTGACATTTAATGGCTCTTGATTGATCGATGTTTCTTACCTTGGCTTCTATGTGTTCAACTTGGACTCGTATGTGTTAGAATTACAGCATTAGAAGTGATGTTACTGATGATGCTGAGAATGAGAATGAATCAGGACTTGCAAAGGTCACTTGTCTGGCTTAGAGAAGTCATAACTTTGTCCCTGGTCTCCTGATTCTGAATCCAATGTTCTTTGCACAGAGCACATTCAGATCTTTATTTTTTTAAGGACACATTGGTTTTGGTGCTAGGATAAAGCAGGAAGCCCTGCAGGTTACAGTTTAAAGTACAGTAACTCAATAACCTGAGGAAACCTCCACATTAAACCAAGGGAAGGGCAAAACTTCTTAAAATTTCATTGTCATCAAAATGAACTCCTTATGGTTTTCTGGCCTGTCAATATGTTTTTGGTTGAGTACTCAAAGGAAACCAATATGGAGTTGTTTTCCACCAACTCTCTTCCACAGCCAATGTTGTTTACATGGTACTCTAGACAATCCTTACAATATTTGTTCATACGTGTCAGTTTTGTGGGCAAGAGACATGCAGAAATTCAGCTTCTTGAAATAGAAGACCACCAGAGAACTCAGAACCCAGACACCTTCATTTACCTAATGAACTCAACAGTTTACTTACTCAAATCCTAGGAAAAGCCACTGAAGCCAGATCCAGGACAAGAATAGAATAATAACAGCAGCTGGGAAGGAAAGCAAAAACCACGATCCAAAGTTGATGCATCGACATTTAGGGTAGCGCCTGTATGAAAACATGGAAAAATGTTCAAGGAGGAGTTCAAGTAGAATCGCTTCTGATGGTCAGCGGGAAGTGGCAATTCACCTCTCTCCTGTGCCACCGGCCAAAGGAAGGTGTAGGGGGTATTCACCATTAAGAATGGAAGACTCCATCTGAAAGAACTTAGTACCCATTACTCATTAAATGCACAAGTAATGGGTATGGGTGTGTGCGTGTTTTTTTGTTAGTACTAAAATCTTGAATATATGAGTGAGGAAAAACAAATAAGCAGACTTGGGAACAGATGAATTGAACTTAACAGAACAGAATTTCCGTTACAATTGCATCCTGGTAGTGGGCATCCCAGGTACCTAGGAAGGGACTCTGATCCTGCCCAAATTGTCTCTCATAGATGTTTACCTCTGTTTCTTCTGCACCAAAGCAACTGCAACCACCAGACCAGACATATGTCAGTCCTTTCTTCCTAGAATTAGACAGTGCTTTGGGGCTCAGTCAAACGGAATAAATCTGGACCAGAAAAAAGTTAATGAAAAATTATGTGGAAAACATCAACTTTTGCTTTATCTCTTCTAGTTATTTTCAGCTTTTTAGCTCACATAATAACAATAGTAACAACAACAAAAAAAAGGTCAGGTACAAGTACAGTGTCTTTGGTAACCTTACACTCATTATTTCAAAATATAATCTAAATCCCAAATAAATGTAGTTATCAATTTCATGCCTGTGGGGGGAAAAACAGAAAGTTTGTGGAACAGTTGTCTTTTTTTTTTTCTTGAAGCAGGAACACAAAGACAGTGTTGGAAATCTAGAAAATACAAAAAAATCTACAGAAATAATTAACCTATTTGTATTGTTTTTGAAATAAAAAAATATAAAAAATTTTATAAAAATAATAGATGTTTCAATTCTTATTTTATTTAAATCACATCTGTATTTTGTTATATTAAAAAAAGATCATGTAAATGAACAAAATGTTTCATGCCAAATGCATCAACATAAGCCAAATTTATGTATTTTAGAGAATTCTCTGTTTTATTCTAGAATGGTCCCTAAGTAATGCAGACTTTTATTTAAAAAGGTAACTTTTAAAAACTCTAGGATTCTAATGATTTCTACAATTTCTTTGATCTTATAAATACTTGCTGATCCCTAGATCCTAGAGATATTATTAGCAATTTCAGGATGATTTTAATCTACCTTGAAGGGATCTAAAGATTAGTTTACATATGTATGCATTAAAAAGTGACTAATGATAAATAAGAAATGCTGGAGAATACAATGAATCGAATAATGGAAAGATGCTTTATCATATCTATGAGACACTATTGAGAATTGCTTGCTTAAAAAATAATATGTTGTTTTTAGTTGGAAGATAAAATAAGTAGGAAAAGGATTAAGCTTATTTACCATTAATTTATTATACTTGGATTATTGGTTGATGGTCTATGTTATTCTGTTTAGCCTAAAGACATTTGGAAATGCTACTTGTGTTAGGATCAAAACAATACCCCAAATCCAGTTTCATTTCCACTATCTGTGGCTAATACTTTGACACCAGGCTGCATTGTTCCTCATATATACTGCAGAGAATCCTGTAAGGTTTGTTTGGCTGAAAAGGGGCTCTTCAGGATTTTTGCATGGAAGAATAGTTCATTTAGAAAAATGAAAGCCTGAAAAAGCTAAACTCTGCTTTGTTTTTGTTTTTCCCTTCAATAGTAAGGAAGTAAACAGAACGGTGACCTCCATTAGCACAACCCTTACACTTCTACCGAGAGTGAATATTTTGGATGAGAATGGAATGAACGACATACTCTTAACAAATTAGTTTCACTGTGGTGTCTCTTCCCACTTCCTCATACCCCAAAAGTGAAGTGATTGCAAGTATCTGCCTAGAGCAAATATAGATTTTTTTCCATCATGAACTATGTACATTTAATTCTGACAGGGTCCTTTTCTTTCACCTGACACTGTGTTTTTGGGTTTCTACCATGTGCCAGGTACTCTCCTAACTATTGGGGATATAGTGGTGAATTAGATGCACATGGTTCAGGCTCTCTTAAAGTTTATATTTAAATGAGGAACACAGGCAATTAACAGGTAAGCATATAATGAATTAGAAAATAACACAAAATACTGTAATAAAATTATTAAGGAAGGGAGAAATAGTACAGAATGTGGTCAAGGAAGGTGATATTTGGAATAATATCTAAATGGCAAGAAGGATCCAGTTATGTAAATAACTGGGAAACAGCATTACAGACAGGAAATAGCAAGTACAAAGGCCCTGAGGTAGGAATAAATTTGGAATGTTTGAGGGTTAGACAGAAGACCAGTATAGCTGTGAGTAGTGAGCTAAAATTACAACGTTATGAAATTCAGTCCAAGAAGTAGCCAATAGGGATTAGATCATATATAACTTTGCAGGCCATCAGAAGGAATCTGAATTTTAGTAGAAATAGAATTAGGAGCAGTTGGAACATAGTAAGTAAATTAGTGACATTATCTAATGTAAAGTCTATGTAAATATATAATTTACATAAAACATGTTGGCTAGGTGAATTCTCAAATATATTGAAGGGAACAAGAGTGGAAGCCAAGGTGCAGTAGACAGAGTTCCAAGATAAATCCCAAGATTCCTGCCCCTGATATACATACCTTGTATAATCCTCTCCCTCTCTGTGTGTATAGAATTTGTGAATATGATGAGATTTCATTCCTGTAATTAGGTTCTTTTATGGCAAAAGTGAAGGGTTTTGCAGAGATAATAAAAGCCCTCATCAATTGACTCTGAGTTAATCAATAGGAAGGCTATCTTGGTTGGGGCTGGCTTAATCAGGTGAGCCCTTAAAAGAGATTTTCCTTCTGGCCTAATGAAGTAAGAGTCCATGTTGTCAAAGGAAGGGGCCATGTGGCAAGGATCTGGGGGTAGCTGGAAGTTGCCAAGATTGAGTCCATGCCAACAGTCAGGAAAAAATTGGGCACCTCAGTAACTCAACCACAGGGAACCAAATTCTGTCAACAACATGAATAACCTTGGAATAGTCTTCTGAGGCTCACCTTTTAGGCTGGTGAGATCTTGGACAAAGAACCCAGCTAAATTGTGCCTAGACTCCTACCCTGCTCCACAGAAATTATGAGATATTCAATTTGTGCTGTTTTAAGTCACTAAACTGATAGTAATTTGTAACATAGCAATCGAATACAAATACATAGGGTAATCTATTAGCAGACCGTGGAAGTTAGCACAGGAATAGGGGAGAGTGGGAGTCGAGTTGATTTTAGCTTAATTTACATTGATAGCAGAGCAGATGGACAGAAGGCAACAGATTTCAATATATTTGAGATAAAATGTAGGAAATGGAGAAAAGGTTCCATTTATTGAAATGAAGTCTAAGGGGAGAATGGGTTGGTAAAAGGGTAAGGGAGTGGTGGATCAGAAATGTTGCTGTGGGCATGTTAACTCGAAACATCCCTTAATTTTCCAAGTAGCCATGTCAGATAGGAGATCGGCAGTTGATAAATGAGTCTGGAACTGAGTTGAGAAAGCACATTATAAAATTAGTAGTTGCCAAACATATAGGTGGTTTCATAAACCATGGAAATGGGTATAATCACTTGGGGAGTAAATGGAATAACGGATCCGGGAATGCACCTCTAAGTTTTAGAGGTCAGGCAGAGGTGTAGGAATGAGTAATAAATGGAATGAGATGACTTAACAAAAATCCTGTGAGAAAAACACTGTATTTCCATTTTACACGAGAAGACACTTCTGAGTCTCAGAAGGTTAAGTTAATTGCTCAAGGTCATGGACTGCACAGAGAAGCTGGATTTTTAACCCAGGAGGAGTGTTTAAAACACAACCTCTCTTCATTAAAGCATAATGTCCTCAACTGAAACTCCAAGGTGAAAATAAAAAATTCCACATTTATTGAAAAGTATCCAGAGGCTAGAGTACAAACTTGATGTTTTAAGGACATTTTAGACATTATAGAAATGATTACTCCATAACAGAGACATGTTTTGACCTAAAGCATATATGCCTGTCAATGTGAAACTTAGGAAGACAATGCTGTCATTATAGATCGTATGCCCAGCTACAAAATGATGAATAAGTCTAATAAAATACACAGAAATGGTCTCAAGAGAATGAATGTAGCTATGGAAATTTACAGCCTTGAAACAGATTTGGGCCATTAAGATCACTATAAGCTAGTGTCCAAACTGATCATGGTCTTTTTTTATTTGTGACTGTTTTGATTATTTCTGACTCAAAGCCATTTTTCAGGTTTGTATTTGTGTACTTCTAGAGGCTTCTTTTAAAATATTAAGTACTTATTATTTACAAGCCAGGTTTAGATTTCTAACAGCAATAACAAAAGTAGAAGCAGCCGCAACAGTAGTGTTACTGACAATTTCCTACGTGTCAGGTCCTTTGCTGAGAGCCAAATACATGTTATGCTATTTAACCCTCACAATAATGTTCTAAATTAGAGTTATCCCTCATTTCACAGTTGGAAAAAAACTCATGTTCACAGAAGTTAAGCTAATATATGGCAAGATTGAAATCTGAACCAAAGTTGGAGTTCAAACTCTGCAATATCCACATTTCTTCTATAGTGTTGGACAGAGAAATTCTTTCTGAGAACTATACACCACTTGTTTCTACAGGGGAAAATGATGGTAACTTTGGAAGGTAGTTATTGCTAGATAACTGGTTTACTGTTTCCCTCTGTAGTTAGCCAAGAAGAGACATTAGGGATGTGGGTTTTGAATTTCGAGCACCTATAAACTCATTTCTTTTACCATTTGTTGGTCTGTGGGCCTATAATAGTTATTATTTAACACATAATTAGTAACAGTGACTGTATGAATAATTGATACAAATTCCTTCCAAGTTGCTTTGTATACCCACATATTTCACAACTGATGCCCACGAACTTAATAGTATACTTTGATAATCAGCAAGCTATATGATTTTTCTTGTGATAATCTTCCATTCTTAA